ACTTTGGTATTTATCGTTGATATGATATAGTGCTCGCTCTTTAATACTTTTTGGATTTATGACTAAGGTAGCAGGTTTATTACCGTACATAAAATCAGGCCCAGGAATTTTTATTGTTAATTTCTGTAGTAAAAACGCACGTAATTCACTCGCGCCCTCTTCCCCTAAGCTCATCGCTTTACTCATGCTCAATAAAAAAAAAAAAACCCATGCGGAGAGCGTAGTTTGGACAAGATCTAAACAAGTTATCTAGTGTTTTACGTACTTTGTTTTTGTTATTGTTTGTTTGTTTTTTCAAAGAGAAATATCTGCAGACTGCAGGTGCTTCAAAGTGCTAAACAGTGCAAGGATTCTTATCGGATAACATAAGGATAAAAAAAAATTAACAATTTCCAATTGAAAAGTATAATTGAAGTTAGGCAAGAGTTTCAGAGGCTATCCTGGAGACTTGGTCAACGATGTAATGATAGAACGGACACTAATTTATTTATTTATTATATCTACTTTCTTTCTTTAAAGAAGAAACTGTTCATCCTCCCCCCCCCCCCACGTTGAATTACAGCTAGTGCCACCTATCTCTTCATTTCATAACACACATGGTCACTCATGGAGACTTGGGGCAGATAGCTTTGCTGGCATGTTAGATCCTTGTGTATATGTGTACCCGGAAATTTTTCATTGTTTTTTATGTATGAAAAAATATACTTATCCAGCTTCTCGCTTGAGTCGGTGTTCAGAGTAATGATAATAGTGTTAAAATACAAAATAATTTAGTATACAACTGTGTAAGGCGCTTATAAACTAAATATACAGACGTTGTTATTAGGTGTTTTCATTTCGCGCAAAGCTACACGAGGGTTACCAGCGTTAGCCGTCCCTAATTTAGCAGTGAAAGACTAGAGGGAAGTAATCACCCCTCACCCTAACTCTTGGGCTACTATTTTAACAATAAATAGTGGGATTGACCGTCACATTATAACGCTCGCACAGCTGAAAGGTGGGATGGGGATTCGAACCCACGACCCTCATATTGAGGGTCGAGAGCCCTAACCACCTGGCCATGTCGGACGTGTTTGTTTAAAGTAATTAAGCTAGTTTTGTCTATTATTTATCTCTGAACGTTTAGTTATCATCGTTCAAAGCAAACCCCTTGCAAACTACTTCTTAAAGACTAGGCCCCCAGTGGCACAACGGTAAGTTTGCGAAATTATAATGCTAAAAATCGAGTTTCGATACCCGCAGTGGGCACAACACAGGTAGCCCATTGTGTTACTTTGCGCTTAACTAGAAACAAACAATCTTAAGGACAAGCTGGTTTGCCAGTTCTTCTGAATGATGTGTAAAATTAATTAAAGATACATAATTATAATATATATAATTG